TTGAGAGCGGAATGTTACAACCGGACGAGACTTTTGACCCAGACTTGGAGACAAAACAACAGGAGACGCAAACAGGCCTAACTGTCCCTGACGGGTGATGGGTTGTGGAGCGGGGCTCAGAGTGACTGACCAGAGACGGTCAGGACGGCGCAAAGCAGCGAGGATGCAGAACACAGAACCTTGCCACCACTCAGTCGGCTTCTCACCCCTCCCGAACACCCACTGAGGCCAGGCCCTGCGCTGGAAGCTTCATCAGGCAGCGTGAACACAATTCCTACTGAGACAGAGCAGGCAGTTAAATGGCCAACAGGTTGTGAGCAACAGGGAATGGTGGGGAGTGCGGCAATCGGGAACGCACACACCCTCCCAGGGGCAGCCATGGCGCGGCGCCTGCCGGTTGCTGCTGGCACCACGCTGAGACGTGGGCAAGAGGTGCCCCTGCTCTTGGCTCAATGCCTTGAGGGTCCCTGTGCTGCCCCTCCTGTGGCTGCAGCCCTTCCAATACAGTAAGGAGTCCACAGGGGGTCATGGCACCTGGAACACAAACACCTGTTTGGACCCCAAAATTCCCTGTCCACGTGGCCCAAGCCTGTCTCTTCTCAGAGGGACAAATAACAGGACCAAGCCAAAGGGAAGGTGGTCTGGGGGCAAATGGTCAGAGCTTACACATTCAGCTTAGGGTGTCCTCAGGCTCCCTGTGGTGCAGGACGGAGCCAGGGGTGAGAAGAAGGGGCGGAGAGCAGGCACTGCCCGTGCTACCACTTTCTGGCACAAAACTCCAAGGAGTCCTAGATTTCTCAATTCCAGTCTAGCCTTCCAAGTCATTAGGAACACTTGTCAAGGTAGAAAAGATTGAACATATTCTAGTTTGAAGCTTCGTGATGACTTCCACATTGGACCACGTGGGATATGCACCCCTGCCCAAGCCCCACAGAGTCAGGGGCTGGGTGACTATGGCCAAGCAGGATCGGTGCTGGAAATATTGATTTTTATGTGACACCCCCTTGACTTATAAATGTTGACAAATAATTCAACCACCACCACCATCGTCACGGTCATATCATCAACATGGCGGGGAGAGACCAAACATGTTTACAGGCCGGAGGAGGGCTGTGGGCTGCCAGCTTGAAACCTCTGCAACACCCAGCACCCGCGGAGAATTTCACATCAATACGTTCAGCTCTCCAGGTCTACTTTCCTATTTAATTGTCACAGTGACACCGAGACAGGCATTTCCGACCCGCTCTGCAGTTAGGGGCACTGACACGTGGAGAGTCAGTAACTGGTCTCCAACATAGAACGCGTGAGTGGTGGTGACAGAATTTGGGTCACATCTTCCAACTGCAAGCCCAGCTTCCTCGTACAGTGTTACTTGTTTCAGCCAGTGTCTATAAGCCTCCATGATCCTGACACTGTGCTGGGTACTTTTTCAGCGTTTTATGGGTGAGGGAGTTGCGGCTCTGAGAGCTTACGCGGTCAGGCGGGGCTGGAGCCAGTGGGAGCCAAGGTCTGTCTTCTCTAGAGCCAGAGTTCTGTCTTGAGAAGGAAAAAGCCCAAACATAAGGAGGTCTGTCGGGAAGCGTCTGCCCCAGCTAAAAGCAGAGGAGCAACAGAGAGAGCCTTTTGTCGGCTGCCGTATGTGTGAGTTAGAGCCGTAGGAAGTTGCAATCTGTGCTCGGAGGCGGGGGTGGGTGGAGTCTTACCCAGTTCCTTAAATTGATGAGTGTAAAAAGAATCCACCGTGAAAATCCTGTTGAAACAAAGACCTGCACAGACTCCATTAGTCTGGAGGCGTCGGGTACACCTGCCGTAGCCAAGAACAAGGATGATGGGCTTCCCTGGTGGTGCAGTGGTTGAGCGTCCGCCTGCCGATGCAGGGGACGCGGGTTCGTGCCCCGGTCCGGGAAGATCCCGCATGCCGTGGAGCGGCTGGGCCCGTGAGCCATGGCCGCTGGGCCTGCACGTCCGGAGCCTGTGCTCCACAACGGGAGAGGCCACAACAGTGAGAGGCCCGCGTACCGGAAAAAAAAAAAAAAAAAAAAAAGAACAAGGGTGTTTACAAACAGGTGACTGCCTGGGGGCTGCAGACGGCAGGCCGGGCCCCCACAAGGCCTCGGGGGCGTCAGCCCACCGCAATACATCTGGTCTGCGAGCCGATGACCAGCCTGATGCCCATCACGTCTGTGTGCTCGGTGGGTGCCAGGCACTCTCAGGATGCTTGACATCCACGATCCCACTCAGTCCTCGCGAGAGCCGTGCCAGACAGAGGACTGCGAATTCTGTCTTACAGGTGATGAAACTGAGGCCTGGAGGCGAGTATCACCTCCAGGCCAAAGGGCACGCAGCTGGTAACTGGCAGAACCAGGATCTGAGCCCAGAACTGGCAGTTCCCAAGGTCCGTCTTCCTGACCACTGGGGATATTGCCTGCTGCTCCATAGAGAACGTCAGCTCTGCTTTCACGGACTAATCAGTTTCTGAAATGTGCTCTATCATCTGAAAAGAGGGGCGAGCGACTAGGAAAGTTAAATGCTTACGCGCTTGGGAGGATTAAAGGAGAGAAAACTTGAACAGCACTGAACCTGGTGTCCGGCACAATGAACGCCGTGCAGCCTCGGTTCTCCGTGATCTCACCAAAGGCTCTGCCTGCTGTGGCAGCCCCACCTCCCGCTCTTCCACCCAGCACCCCCCCACCCCGCCCCCCCCCCAGCCCAGCCTCAAGGGGCCACCCACAGCTCTCCACGCAGGCTCTGCCCTCGACCCAGTAAACTGCTCGCCTACCTTTGGAGATCCTGTTGGATGCAGTCCCCCTGAGGAGTCAGGCCCCGCCACGCCCCAACCCCATGCAGGGGTGCTCTTCGCAGACCCCTCTGGGCTTTAACAGTCCAGACCTCCGTTTTGGCACTTATTTGGGGATGTAATTACATGTTTATGGATCTGTTTCCCATAACAAGCTCATCTGAGATCCAATATGCATTCAACAGAAACAGGCAGAGGAACTGAAGACGAATACACCACTAACTCTGGAAGTTTCGGAGCACTTGGGATGTCCAGCTTCTATGCCATACACCAAAAAACCCGCTGCCACAATGGAAGGTTTACTGAGCCCTTCCAGGAAGCACGGCATCGAAAGCCATAAAAAAAAGTCCAAATAATCCTTTTGACCCAGTAGTTCCAGGAAGACTTGCTAAGGAAACAGTTGGGGAAACAAGAAAAAAAGTTTTATGCCCAGAATCACCTCTGGATTCTGCTGGTAAAAACAAACAAAATAAGCAAGGAATTTCAACGTCCAACCACAAAAGGGTGGCTGAGTCACCTACAGTAATACTAATGCTCGTTTGTTGACAATTTATACTCGCCAAGTGCCAGCCACTTCACTGCGCCATTTTATCCTCACACACAACCTAGTGAGGCAGACAGCGTGTTATCCCTGTTGCAGTCATGGTGACAGGAACCACTCTGAGGACTGAGAGCCCTGGGACAGGCACACTTCTCAGCTGTCTGGGCACGATCGCAATTTCTGCTCACAGCAGCGTGTGACACAGCTGCTCTTCACACCCTCCCTTTACCAACAAGTGACTGAGGCTCAGAGATGTTAAGAACGGGTTCACAGCCACACCACACTCCGGCCAAGTCCACGGTCTTACCCTCTAAGCTCCAGCCACCGTTCCCCAGGTCACTCAGCAGCCGGTAGCAGAAGAGGGCTTGGGGGACCGGGGCATCTGCTTTGGGACCACGTGGTTTCTACCAGGAGACGTTCCTCCTGCCACAGGCTGCAAACCACCTCTATTATGGGTTGAATTACATCCCTCCAAAGATGGCGAAGTCCTGACTCCCAGTGCCGGTGAAAGTAACCCCTTCCGGAGATAGGTGACTGGCAGATGACCAAGTTAAGGTGAGGTCAGTAGGGTACATCCTAATCCAATATGACCGTGTCCTTAGAAAGAGGGGACATTTGGCCACAGAGACAGGCATGCAGAGAGCAAAGGCAATGTGAAAACAGAGGGAGAATGTGATCTACGAGCAAAGGAAAGCCTGAGGCTACCAGAAGCTAGGAGAGAGGCATGAAACAGGTCCTCCCTTAAAGCCCCCAGAAGGAACCAACGCTGTTGACGCCACAACTTCAGATTTTAGCCTCTAGAACTATGACAGGATACATTTCTGTAGCTTAAGCCGCTCAGTTGTTACTTTGTTACAGCAGCCCCGGGTTGTTAGTCACGTATCAAACTATGAGGCAACTAGGAAAAGGGTGATAACAGGGGCCAGGCACCTGATCACAACTACAGTGTAACCACACCTGGCTGCAGAGAGACGCCTGAAGGCAAACACACCAGAGTAACCAAGATACTTTCCAGTTTTATCTTGTGCTCCTACGTTTTCCCAATTTGACCCAGAAAGTTTGCATTACTCATAAGTTTTACACAACTGTTTTAAAAATACGTGTATTTGAACCAGGAGAATCTGGAGGTGTGTAAGAATCCTTGTTATGGGCTGAACTGTGGTTTCCCCCAAATTCGTATGTTGAAGGTCTAAGCCCCAGTACCTCAGAATGTGACTGTATTTAAGATGGGACCTTTAAAGAGGTAATTACGTTGAAAATGAGTCGTTAGGATAGCTTCTACTCCGATATGACTGGTGTCCTTATAGGAAGAGGAGATTAGGACAGAGAGAGAGAGACAGGCATCAGGTACCTGCACGCAGAGAGAAGACCATGTGAACGCCCAGCGAGAAGGGGGCCAGCTGCAAGCCAGGGAGAGAAGCCTCAGAATAGAAAGAGACACATCAACACCGTGACCTCGGACTTCTAGCCTCCAGGACTGTGAGAAAATAAATTCTTGTTGTTGAAGCCCCTCAAGCTGTGCTCTTTTGTTACGGCAGCCGTAGCAGACTAAGACAAGGAACCAAAAGAGGGCAGTCCTTCCCACGACCCCCCGCACTGCCAGCTGGAGCTGAGGAACAGGCAGGGTGTGCCCCGTGGGCAGGGCACAGCTGCTTCACTCACCCAGGCAGTTGTGTCCGTCATGTGCCAGCATGAAGCCGTCAAAGCAGGTGCACCTGTAGTTCCCCGGGATGTTGATGCATTCGTGGACACAGCCCCCGTTGTAGTAGTCGTTCTCACACTCGTCGATGTCTGCAAAATGAGGTGCACGAGAGGTGTCAGAGGAAGAGCCTGGGGGTCCCCTCTCCCCCCACTGCTGAAGTCACCGGGACATGAGTGGTTAGGGGATGACTCAACAGGTGTTCACTAAAGTCCTTGCTGGGGGCGGGGGGCCCAAAGGTTACAGAGATGAAGATTCTGGCTCTGCCACGAGGTTGGCCACCGCCTTGGGGAGCAGGGCCACGTGCCAGGCATGTTTGGGATGATTTTCAGATCCCCCCTGCAGAGAAGCAGGTGAGATTCCCACCCCTATCTTCCCCCTTTGAAGCCCTCTCAACACTAACAGCACGCAGGGACCCCGTCTAAAATCCCCCCAAACTGCCTCTTTTCAGGATATCTGAAAGCTTCCCAGAGGTGGAGACCTCATTACTTGTGAGGCAGGGGGTATGAGATAAATGAGCTTTGCACACCACCAAAAAATGTAGCCTCTGGAATGAGAGAAAAGTCCACATACTCCCCCCAGAGTTTCCTTCCAGATCAGCGTCTGAAGTCTGAATTTCTACTGCTCCAGTTTCCTTGTCACAACAAAGCCTTCTGTCTCATAAACAGTGGCCAATAGCCTTTGTAAAGGTCACCCTTTTTCCTGTTTTAAGTCTTTCTCAACATTTCCCATCACAGGTCAAAGAGCTATCAGTTCTGAAGTTCCAGAGAGATCTGAGAGACCCTGGAGAGCAACAGAAGCGAGTCTAGTTAACATTCAATGAGCTGCTTCTATGCCCGAGTCCCGGGGGGCGACACCACGCGCCATCACGGACCCAGTCCCCGTGCTAACTCTGAGACATAGGCACCATCGTTGTTACTCCAATTTTACAAGGGCATCGAAGAAGCCAAGGCACAAGAAGGCCACATCCTTGCCAACGGTCACACACCTAGAAGGGCTGTAAGTGGGATTCGACCAGTGCAACCCCCCAAGGCAGCAGAGGGGAGCGGGGTTCAATCTACCCACCCAGACCTCCACAGGCTCTGCAGAGAAGCAGGAAAGGGGGCAGCCAGAAGCGTCCCACAGCGGAACCAGAAGTTCCCCAGTGGAACCGGAAGTGTTCCCACAGCCAAACCAGAAGCAGTACTGCCCCGTCTCAGCAGGACTAGAAGTGCTTTGCAAGAGGCTACCACGTGGGAAGAAGCAGCCTCTCCTCTACCTGGTCGAAGAGGGATTTCTGAGGCCCGGCTCCAGCTGTGAAAGCCAGGAAGGGCCCAGCCTGAAGAGAGGGAACTGAAAGCAACCCTAGCCGTTCCTGCAAATGCCTGAGGAGCTGGCACAGGGAGACATCCAGCTCCATGCTCTCTCCAAGCGGTCCAGAGGGCAGAGCTACTCACAGCAGGGGAAAGCCAAGGGGGCCAACTGATGTTCACGGGCAGGTATGTCCATCTGGAAGACAGGGCCTGTCTCAGGAGGTAGTGAGCTCCCTGACTCTGGAGGTGATCAAGCACTGTCTGGGACACTGCCAGCAGAGGGAATAACTTCATTGGAAACTGCAGCGCTGAAAGTGCTAGAATACAGGGTCTGAGCTGCGCAGCCTCCTCCTGGTGCCCACCCACCCCGCCACGATGAGGGAAGAATAAGGTTGCCTGGATCCCCAAAGGTGCAAGAGACAGGGGGTTTCCTGCTGCAGAGGCCATCAGTGTCAGCTGGGAAGCAGGCTCAATTCTGTAAGTCATTTGAATTGTTTTTAACCATTGTACTTAATGCACTTAGATGTTTTAAATAACATTAAAGCAGGATGTAAGATTCTGTGTTTGAAAGGGCACATGGATTTATAAAGACAGATATTGATTACTTCCCAATCTCTGCAGCTCCGACCTTTCGCTAGAGCCCCAGATACACCAATCCAACCACCTCTCCCCCTAGATCGTCCACACTCACGCCAAAGGCAACACGGCCCACTTTAACTCATCCATCTGCACTTCCCTGGGGTTCCCCATCCCAGTGAATCCTGTTATCCTTCCACCTCTCCGCTGACACCTATCAGCTACCAACACGTGAATTTTCTACACTCTTAACGTGGGTACAGTCTGCTGACTGGTCGCCCGTTTCCACTGCCTGTACGCGTGAGCGTCATCTCTCATCTGATCCGAATCAGCAGCTCGCGAACTGCTGCCTCCCTCCTTTCCTTCATTCAAGCAGGTGACTCAAAAGAAGACGGCTTCCCTGGTGGCGCAGTGGTTAAGAATCTGCCTACCAATGCAAGGGGCAGGGGTTCGAGCCCTGGCCCGGGAAGATCCCACATGCCGCGGAGCAACTAAGCTCGTGCACCACAACTACTGAGCCTGAGCTCTAGAGCCCGCAAGCCACAACTACTGAGCCCACGTGCCACAACTACTGAAGCCTGTGCGCCTAGAGCCCGTGCTCCGCAAAAAGAGAAGCCACAGCGATGAGAAGCCTGCGCACCGCAACAAAGAGTAGCCCCTGCTCACCGCAACTAGAGAAAGCCCGCACACAGCAACGAAGACCCAACACAGCCAAAAAGAAAAAAAAAAGAAAAAAAAAAAAAAAAGAAGAGGGCCTGATTCCACCTGTGGGGCTGGAGCCTGCTCAGTCTAACTCAGAGACAGTAGATGGCATAGCAACTGCTATGGGTCCCAGGGTGGGCACATGACTCAGGCTGGATCAGTCAGGCCGAGGGGAAGGACTTTTATTCCATGCTTGGGCAGAAGAATTGTCTCTCTCTCATGCTGTACCTCAGGATGCAGGTATCTACTCCTGAAACATATACCAGCTTATTTAATTTTCACAGCAACCCTCTGGAGTAGGTATTTTAACTCCATTTTATGGTTAAGCAAAGTAAGGGGCAGAGAGGTAATTGCTCAAGGTCACATAGTAAGTGGTAGGGCAAGGATCAAAACAAGTGTCTTTCAGTTTACAAAGCCCATGTCCTTTCTGGTAAGTTAGAATGCCCATGACATGCCAGGCATTGACAGGCAAAGCGCTTTATATACGTTATTTCACTCTTGGCAATTTACCCTATGTACCAAGAAAGTGTAATCTAATCATCAGAACACCCATTCACACCTGCATCCTTCCACTTGCGCCACATCCATACACACACACACTTGTGTGTGCACCTACCCATCGACCCAAATAGCCAGCCAGTCAGTCACGCATCCACTCATCCAAACACCCATCCGCCCCCGCCACTATCCATCCATCTATTCCCTCCAATAAGCTATTCATTCAGATACCCACCCAACCATCCTTCCATCTGCCTATGCATGCTAAAATCTATCCATCTAAACATCCAGTCAGCTGACCACCCTTCCATTTATCCAATCACCTATTCCCCATCCACTTATCCAGTCAAACATCCACCCGTACAAACGTGCATCCGTCCGTCTAAATATTCAGCCAGACACCCATCCTTCCATTCACCTAAGCATCTATTTATCTAAATACTTATCCATCTAAATGTCTAACCATCTATCCATCTATTCATTGATCCAAACACCCACCCATCTATCCAAACACACACACACACACACACACACACACACACACCCCTACTTGTTCATCCATCTATCCAGCTCAACATTCACCCATCCATCCAACCAAACACCTATTCATCCATCCATCAGTGACTTCAAACATCCTGCATCTAAACAGCCTACAAAATACACACAAAAAGGTTTTCAAAGAGAACAGATGTTAGGATGAAGAAAGAGAAATGAGGGTTGCGGAATAAGGGAAAGCTGGGCAGTGTATGCAGAAATACATTTGGTAAAATTCCAGCACAATGACAAAAGGAAGGCCTCAAATAGGACTTTGAGTTTCCTAGAAACCAAGGCAAGGAAGGAAACACGATCAGTTATAGAGTCACCACATCCATAAAATTCCATTGAACAAGCTGCTTAGAGGGTGATAAGGTCTGAGAAAATCGTCTTTCCCCAGTTAGGATAATCATACACCCATATTTGCCTGGCATAGTTCCAGTTTATGCCTGTTGTCTGGGTATAATTTTTAACAGCAACATTTTCACCATCAAAATGATAAACGACTCGATCACCATGCACAAAAGACATTATAAAGAGATTGCTGGAGAGTCCACAAAACATCTCTAGCCTTCTCCTTCCTTTGACTCCCCATAACGTAGGCCACGGGGGGCGCTGCTGGGCTGAAGAGTGCAGGAACGTTCGCTGCTCACATTTCTTCCCTTAATCCAGTCCCAGAGAATTCCCCCAGATCTGAGCACCCCTTAGAATTATCAGCTCCTCTCCAATCCCCAGGCCTGAAGTGCTCTCACAGGCTTCCGAGGCCAACCTGCTTTACCCACCCACCCAGCATCCGTCCTGAATGGAGAACGTCTGCTCGCAAACCAAACCTTCCCTGATGTTCTGTGTATGTGCCTCGGATTTTTGTTCTTTAAAATCGTGTGAGCCTCCTCCTTTAATACATAAGAGATAAACCCATAAACAAATCAACCAAAAGATAAATCCCTGCCAAAGCTAGTAGATTTATTATTGTAAAAAACTCATCAAAGAGCCATCAGCCCCAGAGGAGGTCCTGCAGGCCTCCAAGATGCCCATCAGTCTCAGACCACCTCAAAAAAATTTTTTTTATTGAAGTATAGTTGATTTACAGTGTTGTATTAATGTCTTCTGTACAACAAAGTGATTCAGTTATATATATATATTCTTTTTTAAAATATTCTTTTCCATTATGGTTTATCATAGCATACTGAATATAGTTCTCTGAGCTATACAGTAGGATCTTGTTGTTTATCCAGCCCATATACACTAGTTTACATCTGCTAACCCCTATCTCCCGCGCCATCCCTCCCCCAAACCCCTCCCCCTGGCAGCCACCAGTCTGTTCTCTATGTTGGACCACGTTTTAAGGACTGTTAAGGTCAGAGAATGAGGAACAGGCGGTTGGAGAGCGGAGAGGGTAAAGGAATGGAGGGGGGCAGAGCCAAGCTCTCTAGATCTTTACTCTTTTCTTAAAATGTGAAGTATAGTTGATTTACAATATTGTGTTAGTC